AAAAAAAAAAAAAAAAAGTATGAAATATCAAATTGTTCTTATTAAGTGACTTCCCTGTAAAGAAAAATCACATTAACAATCAATCATTTAGGCAGCAGCGCCTCAAGAACATGTTTGATGTTCAGCCCAGCAAAAGCTTGGAGCAAACATCAGTTAACTGGAAAGGAAAAGACAACCACAAAAAGACATCCAGGAGGAATACAAAGGGAGCTCACAATGCAATCTTTTTTTTTTTTTTTTGAGACAGAGCCTCAGGCTATCCCCGTAGGTAGAGTGCCATGGCATCACAGCTCACAGAAACCTCCAACTCCTGGTCTCAAGCGAGTCTCCTGCCTCTGCCTCCCAAGTAGCTGGCACTACAGGTGCCCGCCACAATGCCGGCTGTTTTTTGGTTGCAGCTGTCGTTGTTTTGGCAGGCGGGGCTGGATTCGAACCTGCCACCTTAGGTGTATGTAGCTAGCGTCTTAGCCACTTGAGCCACAGGTGCCGAGCCTCACAATGCAATCTTGAGGTAACAGTTAAATGAAGTCAGGTTTGTGCATAGCTTCTAATGTAATTCTCAGGTGAACACAACAGGAGGGGTGGAAAATTCCCTCTAGCCATCAGAGCAATGGGGTTCAGGGTCCTGGGTCCCAGGACACTGGAAGCTTGACTAAGTAAGCAGTGGATGCTGTGCACTCTACTCTCCTCCAGATGGCTCTGCAGGTGGCCTTGCCAGCAGCCTGAGACCCACACTACCTCCTGCCTTATCTCCCCTACCCCAGGGAGGAGTCAGGGCTCTCAGCACAAGGGGCCTTCACCATGAAGCCCTGTGACCATGTACTTGGTTGGTCCAGACAGAGACCCTGCCTGGACTCTAGTTGAGTCTTTAGTGTCACTGCCCGCAGAGGCCCTGCCTGGAGCCACAAGGCCTGGCACCATGCCCAGAGATGGGATTAGGGACTCTGGGGGCCAAAAATCCAAGGGTGGCTAAACACACTAATGTGAGAAAAATATCTTGATCATAGCATTCTTCTGACTGGCTAGAAACCATCCGAGGGTAACTGCTGCTTCTTAATCTTGCTGTATTTCCCACACATGGGCTGGAGTAAGAGGAGAAGAAAGTTCAAAATACAAAGCCCCCGCAAAGAGAAGTTAGGACAGACAGAACTGGGCATGCGACCAGCGCAAAGCCTAGTACACCTCCCGTAGGGCTCAGGCCCAAGAGGTTGACTCCAAGGAAGGTCATGGCTAAGCCCCAGGCCTTGAACTTGTGTCCAGCTCTACCCACCACTGACCAGGTTAGAGACCTTGGGCAGCCACCCAAACTTGCCTAGAGGACAGGAACTCCAGTGCTGCCCTCATAAGGCCTATTGTGGCCATGCCACACCCTGTACTAACATGTGTTTGTAAGGACTGCTTCTTTTTTTTTTTTTTGAGACAGAGTCTCATTATGTCACCCTCAGTAGAGTGTCGTGGCGTCACAGCTCACAGCAAACTCAAACTCTTGGGTTTAAGCAATTCTCTTACCTCAGCCTCCCAACTAGTTGGGACTACGGCTGCCCACCACAATGCCTAGCTATTTTTTTTGTTGCAGCTGTTTAGCTGGCCCAGGCCAGGTTCAAACCTGCCACCCTCAGTGTATGTGGCTGGCGCTGTAACCACCACCGTGCTACAGGTGCTGAGTCAGGATTGCTTCTTTTTCTTTTGGCTGGGGCTGGGTTTGAACCCACCACCTCCAGTATATGGGACCAGCACCCTGCTCTTTGAGCCACAGGTGCCGCCAACGATTGCTTCTTGAGAAATGGGCTATAGGCAGCCTTGAGCCAGAATTGGTGGCACGCACAGAAACAAAAACCTTGAAGACGTGAACTGAGGTCTGGAAGCAATATTCAGAGCAGCCTACCGGTAGCTCAGGGAAGGTCCCTTTATGTACTTCTCCTCGGCTGTCTTGTAGTCCACTGCATCCACTGCAGAGATTGCACAGATGATGGCCTGCAAGAAGGGGGCAGTGGACTCAGTCATGGCAGGTGAGACCTAGCAGGTTTGTGGAGAGCATGTGCCTAGGAGACCTGCAAGGGGCCCAGTATAGCCAGCTCCTGCCTCTAGACATGACCAGAAAGCTCCAGATCATGAATCAGAATATACCTGATCCCTGAAACTTCTTATAATGAAGGCTCTGAGTTAAATTCACAAAGGTATGTTCTGGGTTAAAGACAAGGTCACATCACTAAGAATAGAGAATAAAAACGAAGACTCAAACCCATAAATGCATTTTTAAAAATCTTTAAGTTCATTGCAAAAAAAAAAATTAAAAGATACAATAAAAGTAATATAAAATACCTGGCCTACATCACTGTTAGGCCAGGTGAGGTGGCTCAAACCTGTAATCCTATCACTCTGGGAGACTAAGATGGGAGGATCACTTGAGCTCAGGAATGGGAGACCAGCCTGAGTAAGAGCAAGACCCCACCTCTACTAAAAACAGAAAAATTAGCTGGGCATTGTGGAGGGCACCTGTAGTCCCAGCTACTCGGGAGGCTGAGGCAAGAGAATTGCCTAAGCCCAGGAGTTGGAGGTTGCTATCAGCCATGTGATGTCACAGCACTCTACCAAGGGTGGAGGGTGATAAAGTGAGACTCTGTCTCAAAAAAAAAAAAACAACAGAAAAAACAACTTTAGCCTGGACAAACAGAGCAAGACCATGCATTTAAAAAACAAAAAAGAAGGAAAGATCCCCAGCCCGGACCCGCCAAACAACAATGACGGCTACAACCAAAAAATAGCCGGGTGTTGTGGCGGGCGCCT